GCTGTATGTAACAGATGACTTCCTATATATCCTTTCACGTCAACGCTTGACGGGTATTTTGTGAGTAGATATTCGACGATATCCTTTCTCCCATATAAGCATGCCACATGTAGAACATTGTTGCTTTGGTTATCCCTTGTCTTCGTTATATACTCCACTGGATCCTCAACAGTGTTGGCAAGTACAATATCCAGAATATATTTAAAACATTCAAAGGTTCCATCTTTGTTCGCTGCTGTATGCAATAGGTGTCTTCCTTTATATCCTTTCACGTCAACGAGTGACGGGTATTCTGTGAGTAGATATTCAACAATATTCTTTTTTCCACCTAAGCATGCCACATGTAGAACAGTGTTTCTCTCATCGTCCCTAGTCTTCGTTATATACGCAATTGGATCCTCAACAGTTTTGTCAAGTACAATATCCAGAATATACTTAAAGCATGCAAAGGTTCCATCTTTGTTCGCCGCTGTATGCAATAGGTGTCTTCCTTTATATCCTTTCACGTCAACGAGTGACGGGTATTTTTTCAGAAAGTATTTAACACAGTCCTTCCTTTCCCTTAAGCATGCAAGATGCAGAACAGTGTTGTTTTGATAATCCGTTGCTATTTTAAGATAATCCAACTGGTCATCAACAGTTTTATTTCGGAACAGAGTATCCAAAATAAATTTAAAACATCCAATGGATCCATCTTTGGATGCTGCATGATGCAATGGTTGTCTTCCCATGAATCCTCTTACTTCAATTAGGGATGGGTATCTTGTAAGTAAATATTTGACAATATGCGTTCTTCCTAGCAAACATGCTAGGTGTAAAACAATATCTTCATTTCGGTCTCTGGCTTTTATCAGATAATCCAGCTTCTGCGCATTTGTTCTGTTCTCATTTAAAGCATCAAATACGTTTACAAATGATTGTAATGATCCTTGCCTTTGAACTGCATAATGAATCGGCTCCCGTCCTCGATGACCCTTACTGTGAAGTAACTGAGTGTACTGCTGTATGATGTAGCTGATCATGTCGATGGAGCCAGATTCGCATGCAATGTGTAAAATGTTGCTGCAGTTGTTCTCTGTCAACTCTTTCATGATGGTGCACTTGTGCTCACTGTCAATGCCTGTTAGTAGCAGTTGTTCTATATATTTAAAACACTCAAGACCACCACACGCGGCAGCAGAATGGATTGGCATTCTTCCTTGAAATCCCTTCTGAGATTTGAGAGAAGGGTATTTTGTAAATATATACTTCACAGCTTCGACATTGTCACGTGTATAGGCTAGGACGAGCAAACGTTGAATGTTCTGTGCCGCTACTCCATTAATAACGCTGTCAACTTGTGGATATGTGCTGCCATTGCTTTCCATAAGATGTTTCAGACATTTTGTGTTCGTTTTGTTATTTGCGATAGCAAGGTGAATCGGTTCCTGATTCATAACGTTACGACATCTGGTAAGGAATGGATATTGACTGCATAAATAGCCACACACTTCATCGTTACCGCATTCAACCGCAACATGTAAAATCGTATTTTTTTGTGCATCTCTATGACGTTGGATATATAAATGTTTTTCCTGGTCGTCTTTCAATAGAAGAAAGAACATTTCCAATTGTTTATAGAGAGTGAAATTCCCTTCGGCAGCGGCATTGTGTAACAAACTGTATTTATTGTCTTTCCAATTCTCTATTTCGGAGCTGTATTTGTGTGCAAAATACTGTTCAAGTTTTGGTAAGTCTCCGTAATACAAGGTCGGTGATTGACTAAATCGTGCCAAGTCAAAAAGATCTACAACGACGAAAGTATAAAAAAAAATATTAACAAAAAAACATCAAATTTAAAACTATCAAAATTGAAGCATAGCAATTGACTTGCAATAGGTTCATAACTATTTTAAATCTCATTAGATCTGTTTTTATTATCTTTTACTACCATTCAAGCAATATATATATAGATATACATTGCTAGAGTTTTAAAGTGAATGTATAATGGTAAAGCGCACATTGCTGTAAAATAATGTTAGGCTCCTTACCTTCATGAAGAAGTTCCTCTTGTAAACAGTCTTGTGCAGCCGTTTCAAATGCTTTACGGCCATTTGGTTTCCTCTTCAGTACTTCTACAAGATTGAATACTGTAGCTGAACCACTGCTCAGTGGGTGCATGATACAGCATATATCTTCCCGGGTGATAACTCCTTGATGATGTAACATTGCAAATAGCGTCGTTAAGAAAGGCTCATCCCTGATTCTAACCATTCGTTCATTAAAGAATGGATCCTCTGTCATTATAGCTGAAATAGTCATTCAAGGAATGATATCACGCCGTTGTTACAAAGAAGTCAGATAAAGATGTATTAGTCTATCTAAAGGAATGTTTAGCTACATTAAAATAGTACATTTAACATGTTTATAAACAACAGATAACCATTTAACAGAATTAAGATGCAATCAGAATTATTTGATACAAGACCATTGTATATACCTGTTCGGTCATATTCTTCTGGTGGCAGATTCTCCAGTATATTATTGAGATACGCTTTGACGTTAGTACAGAATTCATAATTCTCTATTTCGCTGCATGTGTCTTTCAGATGTTGCTTTGCATCCGTCCGCCTTGCCATTCTCAATCTAAACTATATAATTTTAATAACATCTGATAAACATAAATCATGATATCATTCCCAACATTGGTACAATTTGTGTAAAGAAGAACATTGGGGTAAATACACATTGTTTATACTTATACATTTCAAATCCGGCTCGAGACTTAGATAGAAAATAGGTGAATCCTGCTTGAAATAAGAAAGGTATTTCACTTCTTGATAGAATATTTGATATAGGACAAGAAATATAAATCTTGAACACCAAATAGATGTTCAACCAGAACATCAATGAAAACAGTATTTAACGTATATTTTTAGACTCAGCTTTGTAGTTTGCTATACAAGAAGGATAATTACGTGAAAATTGTATTTACATTTTGCGGATCTGAACTTATTCCCAGCTATGATCCAAGGACTAAGGTGAAGGTCATGATTTTAACTTAGTGCCAGTCATTGTAACATGAGCGCATTTTTCTCTTCAAACTTATACATTGTATATACTTATGATAATATTGTGGAGAATATAACTTTTTTCTGCTAAATACATTTAAAAAAATATATAATTCCATGGACAGGGCTAGATCCATGGGCCAATCCTGGAGGCATATTCGTATTCATATCTTGATAACAAGCATTCGTTTCCATGTTAAAGTTATGAACTTCTATGACAAAAGGGGGGGGGGGGAGAGTGTAGTCGACCGACAAAAGGTATAATCCTAGTAACATGGACCTATTTGTCTCACAATGTCCAATATGTCGGTATATAGATACGGGGATGATGTTCTGAGGTGTTTGGTCCCGCCCGTCTGTGCTCAGAGGGTGACATTGTCCTTATTTGGTTTCACAATGACATTCTAAAGGATGATCTTTGGCCAAAATTTGTTTAATTCTCTTTATTATATAATATTACTTGATTTGTTTTACAACAATTTCAACTTTTAACAATCTTGTTGGCCTGGATGGGAAAAAAACCCATGCGTAAGGTAGGAAAATGATTTTTAAAAGATATATCTCTTCTTCCATTATTGGACCCCACCCTTGCCCTCATAGGGTGGGGACATATCCTTCATTTATACAACATTTAATCATTTTTGCCCAACGTTGTTGTAGATAAAACCTAGCCAATTCACCAAGACGTCTAAAATAAGTAGTGCTCTAAAGGTATATGTCAACAGACTGTTGACGGCTGCTGTACATAAAAATGTAATCCTCAGAATATTCATGATTTTTTGATGAAATATAACCGATTTTACTATGTGTTTTTACTTGTACTACAGTTGCGTAAAAGTAAAGCAATCAACCCATTCGTTATCTATGACTGTTATTAAAAAAAACAAGGATATCCTTTATATACTGTTAATAAATTTAATTACCAAAATAATCAAATCCACGAAAACTAAATTTGAAAAAGGTGGTAAAGTGATAATGACCTTCGACCCTCGAAACACCTTTAATATTCACCTTTCGGTGACAATGTTCCCTTCGAAAAACAAAGAGTAGCTACACAACTGTACATGAGAAACTATCGAAAAATCATTTATTTCAGTACACTGCCCTTTAGCAAGTGACAACCCTCCCCGAGATAGCTGACGACCTTAACTCTTTGGTTTGTAATGTGTCGTTTTTTTTCATTAACGGCAGTTAAAAATGGATACAAAATAAGAAAGAATTTTGATATTAAATTGACGTTAACCTTTGCAAATCAGTAAATATTAAAATCTGAAATAATAGTTATAGCAATATGAGGAACAATCTAGTGAGAACTCATATGTAGATATAAATATATATTTTAATAATAATTTTTATTTATTGAGGATAAAAATACATATTTTTAAGTTTAACATCTCACCTGCTGAAACTCGCGTTCATCGTCGTCATCATCAGTGCTTCCAGATATAGCATCTTGTCCTATCAAAGGAAATTATAACAAAATAAGAAACATCATCAACAAAACTGGAAAAAACTAGTAGAATATGTGTATTTGTTTTTTTAGACTCAGCAGCTTTCAGCCGTCAGCTGTCAACTGGTACAATTTGAAGTAACACTAATTCATAATGCATTAAACCAAATATGAAAATAATATTCATAGTCATCCCTTTATTCGAGAGAATCAATCAATATTGCCAAAATCAAAGTATCGAGAGCCCTCAGAGATGCTTTGTATGAAGGATTCAAATAATGGAATAAGGAGGTGGTGTATCAGTACAGAATGGCAGTAAATAATAAAGAACATGTTGTTGAGTAGGGGTCATAATAGCCCATCCCTTAATCATAATATTCAATAAAAATATATATAACAAGCAGAGTATTGCTAAAACAATATAGGTCCCTTACTCGCTACCATTAGCAGTAAAAAAATAAGTAACGATGACTTTGACACAACAGCCCTGAAATTGAAAGTTGTCTGATAATATGGTCCTTATTTTGTGTTTCAAATCGATGGAAATCCCTCAAAGAATGAAGCTAATACAGCGCAGACAATGATCTTTTTAGTCGTAACAGTAACATTGATCAGACAACCCTGCAAACCAAAATTGTCCCGTAAGATTAAGGGAAAGTTTACGATTAAATAAAAAAATATATAAATGTTATATAGATAATATAAATAAATAATTATGATATTATTATTACAATTTGTTATTACCATGATTAATTATACAAAAAATTAAAACGAGATTGTATAATTTCCAGTGCGTGTAATCACGGACTTATGCAAGTCCCTGGTGTATCTCTCCTTCTCTCGATATTGTAACGAAGGTTAAAGACCTATATACTTATTAAGTTTCTGTTTAATATGAATAATATGTATATACGGTTTTTATTTTTGATGTTCAATATGCTACTTGTATTATACTAATCGGGCCATTATCTAGAGACTGTATTGGGAAGCTATCTACAAACTCGTTAGGCACAGCTGCTGTCGCATTGGGAGTTATCAAACAGTCGTTCAAAAAGTCGCGAGCATGAAACTACGCAATGATGGACAAGGGGAGAAAAATCTTTAGAGTATTGGAATATGAGGCGTAGGAATTTGAACCAAATATAGTTCGGAACTTTCACTGATTAACAACACCACTGTTAAAGATCTTTACATATTTATTTATTTTTGTCTTATACAGATATATTTTACCATAATATAGCATTGATCATAACATGAAATAATGAACACATTTTTCTTAAGATCTTTAGCGGAAGGAGATAAAGTGGGGTTGGGGTTTTTTTGTGAAGAAATTATTCGGTCCAAAAAACGTAGTTATTTGAGATTGATATAGTTTATGAAACTCAATGAAAACATTTGCCTTTTCACAAAATTAAAAAAAAAACTTTAATTTATTGATCGTTTTCAAATGTATTTCATCATTTCATAGCATTAATCATACCATGAAATAATCAAGACAGCATTTAAAGATCCTCCGCGAAAAAAGAAAGTCTGTTGTTTGCTTTTCATTTGACCAGGCTTGGCGAGGACCGCTGTGAATGCTGTACACAGCATAAAAAAAACTTTCTAGTCTTACCCATCAGCCCCTTGGGAGTCAAGTCCCTATATTTGTTCAGATTTTAATCCTCAGCACCTAAGGATGCTTCCAACTAGATATGGTTGACGTTGACATTCTTCCTATTGTCATGGGAGGCAGAGGGGGCAGCAAACCGATTTGTACAATTCGGAATCCTAACCAACTAAGAATGATCACAGTCAGATGTGGTTGATATCCATCTATCAGTTTCTGTGAAGAAGCTGATTGAAGCCATATGGTCAAATTAACCCTTTTTGTCATTGCCCCTCAGTCGACTGGAGGGTGAGCCCTTCCATTTTATTCAATTTTGTATCCCAGGCACCTAAGAATGCTTCCAAGCAAATAAGGTTGATATCTACCTCTGACTTTCAGAAAAGGAAGTCGCTTTGCGCAATATGGCCAAATTAACCCCTTTTTGCCCCGCCCCACAGTCTCCCTTGAGGTTAGTCACTTCATTTGTACAATTTGGAATCCCCATCAACTAAGAATGCTTAAAGCCAGATATGATTGCTATTCAATTATCAGTTATCCGGAGAAGAAGTTCATTGAAGCAATATGGTCAAATTATCACTTTTTGACATCGCCATTCAGCCCACATGAGGGTCAGCCCCTCCATTTTGTTCAAATTTGAATCCCAATCATCTAAACATACTGCCAAGCAAATAAGATTTAATCCATTCAGCGTTTTTGAAGTCGTTTGAAGAAATTGTTAACGGAAGGAAAGACGGACGACAGATGGAAGACTGACGCTACGGTACGGTATAAGCACACCTTGGCCAATTGGACAAAAACAGAGAGCAGAAAAATAATGAAAACGCATCATGACCCCCTCATGAAAACTGAAACAGATTGTCATCTCTTTAAGTGAATGAAAGCGTATCGATTGCCAATTGTTTACGTCGCTATAGAAGACTTTAGAAACTTTTAGATTTTTGTGGGCATTATCAATCACATTAATCAATAATTCATTTTGTCCGAGATTAAAATCATTTATCAAAACATTTCAACGAGTTTTTGAAAAGGAATAAACGTAAGATATACATGTGAAGTTCAATTCTGGCACGTTGAACGTGAAATACTTGTTTAGTAATACGCTATCTATTGTAATCAAATATTGTAATTTGAAAAAGAAATTAAGTGTCCTAGTTCAGTCACATTTTCTTTTGCTTTATTTCTACATGTTTCGAAATATATTTTTTATCTGAATTTTCATAATGTTGACCTTAGTCCTACTGGTGTGTCATACATGGACAGCATGGCCATATGGAGCATTATGTATTTAGATTGTTGGATTTCTGCATCAACAAACTAATATTTACATAGGTTCTTCCATACTTTGTATTTATGTATGCAAATTACAGTTTGATAAAATCATTTCTTTGTGCCGTAATTTCATATGTATATATCATGAATTTAAATTACATAGATTAAGATACATAAATACAACTGTATACACGAATACCGCTGTATTTATGTACACGACGTGCAGTGTGTGCACGATTGTGCACGATGTGCAAACGATAAAAATGGAGACGATATTGCTAGTGCACATCTGTGCGCATGATCGACAAACGTTATGCGATATCAATCGTGGTTGGTGTAAATTGTGTATATTATATACGATTTCGTGTTTTAACCTATAAATTTGATTTTTAGAAGTATGTCACTAAATTTCAGCTACATCTATAAACTCATCTTTTTATCTGCATTTACTGAATTTAGAAATGGCGTTTTCGGGAATTTTTAAAACTAATTAAACGACACGTGTAGATTTTTTTGCAAAATTTCAACACATATGGACACGGTCTCATAAACAGATAAACTTGGCCACTGTACATGGACCGTAGTTTTTCTCAACCGGAGGGCCTTACGTTACCCGTCGATGTGTAGAAGTCCAGGTGAAGGAGAGCTATAGACTGACACGAATGCAAATAAAAATACGTAACGTTCAGTTGTGTTTTGATAACAGTCATACGGCATCACATATCAGCTCTGTGCCTTGAACAGGTCAGGGGACAACTCAGATCTCTCATCAAAAGGTTATTTACCAGTTATGTTAGATGGGAGCCAGACCCATTCTTGATGGCCTAACGGTAACATGCAGTGTAAAATTAAACATTATTTAAATTATAGTGATAAGAAAGTAAATATGCACAGTGTTCCTTATTTCATACGATCCTTCCGGATTTTATTTCTTTCCGTAATATATATCAACCTATTGTACCAAGTCGCACATTTGTGTGGAGAGTAGCGCACAATAGAGCTGATGCATTATACGGTCCCACAACTGTACAAAGACATCTAGATACAGTCATAAGTATCTGAACTAAACACGCATTTATTTATATTGATGAATTTCGAAACATTTAGATATTCGTTTTTTATTATTTTGACCTTTAGCACCGCAGATGAATCCTAAATGACGGAAATTGTATGTTGAAGTATGTTGGTGGTTTTTGCATAGATTTACTAAAATATTTAACTAAGTTCTTCTTTATTTCCTAATGCTAGTGATAATTTTACAGTGCGATTATACACGATGTCCGATGTTACAAAAGCACTGAATGAAGTCAATTAAAAATGAGTTCATACCATTTTGCTGCTGTAAAGATGTCCTTGCTTGTTCGGAAAAACCAACAGCGCCATTCTCGTCATGTATCCCCGTACTACTAGACAAGTTGTCTGACATTGGTTCTAGCTTCATGGTTGTGTTTACCGTTGATGGCTCCAACTTTACACCTTGACAGAGAAATAAAAGTTACTTCAGATATGGACGTAACACACACACTGGTGATTTACGTTAAGCATCAGAAGGTGACACTTTTGCCGTCGTTATTGACCAAAACATTATCACGGTAAGTTATTTATCAGTTAAGGAGCTGATTTACTGCAAACATCCCTGTAGCAATGTTATTGATATATACTATATAAACTTTATTTATGTTACAATTATTATGAAACAAGATATTTCAACTTATATTAATCACTCTTGTTGATCCGGATGTTAGCGCGCAGAGGGCTTAATGTGCGAGGAAACCGGGCAGGTGGTCGGGCAGGTGACCCCATACCTTTTCACGTCCGATCGGGGAATCGAACCCTGGCCGCCTTGGTGAAATGCAAGTGCGCTTTCCACTGCGTCACCCGACCAACAATTTTATTGATACAGTTGTTGAGTTGGTGGGTCGCACAACGTTACACGATTTCCGGTGAGTGCATGATGTGTGCACGTTGTGCGAACGATAAAAAACTGGACGATTATTGCTTGTGCACATTTGTGCGCACGACGGACGAACGTTGTGCAATAACAATTGTGGTTTGAATAAATTAGGAAATTGCTTTGAAATAAAAAGGGTCTTGTGTTTAACTTAAAAAAGGGTTTTAAGTATGTTTCTTTGTTCTAACTACATCAGTTATAGGCAGAAACGATTGCATTTGACAAAAAAGTAACGTCCAGTTTTGTTTTCATAACGGTCATATGGTATCATATGTCTCTCTGTGTCAGGCATTGGCTATTTCAACTGCGGTCACTCATCAAGATGTTATATACCTGTTTTGTTACCTCAGCGCCAAACATATTCTGGACAGTCTAAAGATCACTATAACACTGTGTAACAGGCATTTTAAAATTTAACACAATCTTGATTATTGTGATGAGAAGATTAATATATACGGTGTATCTGATTTCATACCAGCTTTCCGGATTTTCTTTTTTACATTCCGTAATATTGATCAACCAGTTGTACTACATCGAACATTTGTAAGGGGAGAAGTAATATAAGTATTGGTGTAAAAGCTTACCCTGCTGCTGGGATCTTGTTTCTGGGTGCTCTCTCGTACTGCTATAACGAGGGTCTGAACTTGGTTCTCGCTTAATGGTTGTGTTTACCGTTGATGGCTCCAACTTAACACCTTGACAGAGAGATAAAAGTTACTTCAGACAAACTGGTGATTTACGATAAGCATCAGAAGGTGACACTTTTGCCGTCGTTATTGATCAACACATTATCACAGTAAGTAGTTAAGGACTCTACCGGTGGAGCTGATTTACGGCAAACATCCCTAGTGCAATGTTATTGATATATAATATATCAACTTTATTTATTTTACAATTATTATGAAACAAGATATTTCAACTTATATTAATCACTCTTGTTGGCCCGGATGTTAGCGCGCAGAGGGCTTAATGTGTGAGGAAACCGGAAGGTGGTCCGGCAGGTGACCCCATACCTTTTCACGTCCGATCGGGGAATCGAACCCCGGCCGCCTTGGTGAAATGCAAGTGCGCTATCCACTGCGTCACCCGACCACCAATGTTATTGATACAGTTGTTGAGTTGGTGGGTCGCACAACGTTACACGATTTCCGGTGAGTGCATGATGTGTGCACCTTGTGCGAATGATAAAAAACTGGACGATTATTGCTTGTGCACATTTGTGCGCACGACGGACGAACGTTGTGCAATAACAATTGTGGTTTGAATAAATTAGGAAATTGCTTTGAAATAAAAAGGGTCTTGTGTTTAACTTAAAAAAAGGGTTTTAAGTATGTTTCTTTGTTCTAACTACATCAGTTATAGGCAGAAACGATTGCATTTGACAAAAAAGTAACGTCCAGTTTTGTTTTCATAACGGTCATATGGTATCATATATCTCTCTGTGTCAGGCACTGGCTATTTCAACTGCGGTCACTCATCAAGATGTTATATACCTGTTTTGTTACCTCGGCGCCAAACATATTCTGGACAGTCTAAAGATCACTATAACACTGTGTAACAGGCATTTTAAAATTTAACACAATCTTAGTTATTGTGATGAGAAGATTAATATATACGGTGTATCTGATTTCATACCAACTTTCCGGATTTTCTTTTTTTTTCATTCGGTAATATTGATCAGCCAGTTGTACTACATCGCACATTTGTGAGGAGAGAAGTAACGTAAGTATTAGTGTAAAAACTTACTCTGATGCTGGGATCTCGTTTCTGGGTGCTCTCTCGTACTGCTATAACGAGGGTCTGAACTTGGTTCTCGCTTAACGGTTGTGTTTACCGTTGACAGCTCCAGTTTTACACCTTGATGAAGAAAATAGTTACTCCTGTGAAAGATCATTTAAAATTCACATTTGTCAATGATACGTTTTGATAGCGTTAAGAGACAGTTGGTTTGAGCACAATATGTATGCTTGAGCATGAGAATAGTTCCTTGACTACGGGCCCAGGAATATAAATAGAGGTAATCTACCAGCATAAGATGCAATGTGAAAATCGATGTACCAAAAATGGGATTTGAAGACAAATTAACATAAAAAATGATAATAATACAAAGAAATCGATAACTTTGTAGGTATTGGCTTACAAAATCAACACTTTTGATGTTAAAAGAGAAACCTACTTTGCGGCTTTGAACTTGTTTCCGGTTGCCTAAGTGTCTCTTCATTCCAATGTCGATTTTTGCTGTCAGGCTCTTCCGTACTGCTGTAATGAGGGTCTGTTCTTGGTTCTCGCTTAACGGATGTGTTTACTACCGATGACCGCTCAAGCTTTACTCCTTAATGCAGTGATAATAGTTACGTAAGAGGATGACGATTCAATTTATTATTGACCGAAGTATATAAAGGTACTCATCATTTCAAGAAATCTTCCAATAGAAGATGTATGGTGAACATCGATATAGAAGATGTATGTTGAACATCGGCATAGAAGATTGATGGTGAATATCGACATAGAAGATGTTTGATGAACATCGACATAGAAGATGTTTGGTGAATATCGACATAGAAGATGTGTGGTAAATAACGACATAGAAGATGTATGTTGAACATCGACATAGAAGATTGATGGTAAATAACGACATAAAGATGTATGGTGAACATCGACATAGAAGATGTATGGTGAACATTGACATAGAAGATGTATGGTGGACATCGAGATACAGAAAGTAATGTTACTGATACTAAAAGTATGCCTGAATTGTTTGAAGTTTCATAAATAAAGATACAAACTAAACAAATTCGAAATTATGTCATTTGTTTAAATAAATAATACAAATGCTGATAAAAACATGAAATTCATAACAATGTATGACCATCAGGCTTGTTTAGAGAACTGACTTGTATATTACTGCATACCAGGAAATCCTATAATGTTGAAGTTAAAGGGGGATAAACCTCAATCGGTCTTGAGACAAATTTTATGAACTGCGAACCAGTTCATATTGAGTTTGTCTCAAGACCCATTGAGGTTTATAACCATTAAACCTCAACAAAACAGGATTGTACCCTTATATTTTCATTCAGTGCGATATTGATATGTTTTGTATAATTTTTGAAATATCCGTCTTGTGCAAGTCTAACACCACAGAAGGTACCGAAGCTTATGATGTCATCACTCACTGTAAAATGTTAGATGAATAACGTGTTTGCTTTGATTACAAGGAAAAAACAAATTAAGATGTAAATAAGTTTTCTTTAGTTCAATTAAAAACTTCTGATAAAAAAAAATAACTTAAAGAACTACTTTTCGCGCTCCGCGAAATAACAGAGTAATCAGGTTAATGTTATGCTGATGTATTCATACGCCAACTGAAAAGTTCATTGACCTCACTTAACCTCACTTAACCTTTAAATTGTTAAGTAGGTATATTGAGTCCATGTTCAATAGAAATGTAAATATAGTAATATTAATTGTATTAGTATCGATACTTTAAACTTACTCTGCGGATTGGATCTCAATTTTGATAGTCTCGATGACTCTCTTATTCCATGTTGTTGAGTGTTTTCTGATTCTCCTGAACTACTGTAATCGGGGTCTGACCTTTGTTCTTCCTTAATAGTCACTTGTTCTGTCTTCAATTTTATTCCTAAATATATATATAAAAAAACGTTTACTAATATTCAGTTCTTTCAAGCTTAATAAATGATCTATTGATATTTTTTCATAATATGTGACTTAATTTAATATCAAAATTGTCAAAAATTGATATCTATTATACATGCATGGCAATGCCGGGAAATAGTTATGATTAGGTGTTTTTTTTTGGCTAAAATGTACATTAAGCAAACAACAAACTATTTAGAAATAAATGTTATAATTCATTAACACCATCTTATAAGAGTAAAAGCCTTTTTTGGATATTAAGACACACATAGAATCTGTAGATATTTGTACATTTTATCAGTTGATACATACTCTCAGCTTAGATACTAAAACGATATATGTGAAAGCATGCGTTTGTGGAATCAGACTTGTATATAAAATTCTGAAACGTTTATAAAAAATCGTATCAATATAAATTAAAACCTACTTTGGACCTGAGAACTAGTGTCCAGATGTCTTGATGATTTCCTTGTTCCGTCACACTCTACGTTTATTTTGCTTCAATGACAGTGAACCTCACATATCAGTGTGTTAATAACATTATACACCCAAAAGTTACACTGACACTATTGGTACTTACCAAAAACCGATGAACATGATTTAGTAACAGACAACGACGTCTCATTTCCACTGCCGGATACAACGTGACTGCTTGTACCCTCGGACATATTTTTGTTTGTGGGAGGACTTTTATTTCGTCTCCTTCTATGTTGATGGTAATCTTTTCTATGTTTCCTCTTGCTATAACGTTTACCTAATTTCAGAAAAAAAATGAATTTATTCGAATAAGTATATGTATTTGATTTGAAATCCAAACTTCATTTATGAAAGCGCCTGCTTGTATATGTTATTGGGTTGAAAGGATGTGTTTGAGTGTAAACATTCTACTTACGTCTATCTGATGAACTCTCGTGTGCTCCATGAGTGTATTGGTCATCTGAGATTGGCTCTGCCTTTATGACCATGTGTGGCAGTGGTTTATCAAAATCCATCACTGTAATAGCAATGCGATGTTTATTATCAGTTGTCTTGTGATTATATATAACGGTTTAAGGTGACAGAAATCTACAGTTTTGTCGACAGAGAAATTCGAATATGTGTCCTATGTACACATACAGCGTAGATACAGTTTTGCAGAGCATGTGGCAAAATGAAATGTACACTTGTATATACATTTTTGCAGACATTAGGGTAGAGTTAATTTTTACAGAAATTTGGTTGGATAAAAAGCTTCTTTAAAAGTGCCAATGAGGGGTTTTGTTTAGAAAAAATCGTTCCTTGGGAAAACTTCCAATGTTAAGTTTGTGTGTCTTTATACTATCATTTGTGAAGCTAAAAAACTCGTACCAGGCACGGGACTGTTTGGCGTGGAATCTGTATAACGTGTGCCCTCGGCAGTTTGGCTGACAGCGGTTACATGGTCAACAGTAGTTCCTCCTGTGTGTCTGTTGCTTCCTCGGGATTTATGTTTCCCCTTATTTTGTGGCTCTGTGTCATCTCTCTTCCTCTTACCTGATACCAAACACAATTAACCAACGATAACGGATTGTATGCTATCCTACGCTATGAAAAACGTCATCAATGTGAAAGCTGCATTTTCATTGAATCTGATGACTGTTTCTCGGCGGGTAGTTAGATGAATACAACATTCAAGTTTTTGTGAACAAACTGCCAATTATTGCTGCGTTTCTGACCCTGTAAAGCTTTATATCAAGATGAAGGGATCCGAACAAACAATCCGTAGCTTAGTCATTATAGATATACAATTTATAGGTATTTCGGAAACGCTTGGAGTTCTTAGGGAATAGATTAATTTTGAAAAGAAAATATTAGAAGCGGAAGGCATATTTGCTATCTCTACTTTGATTTTAATTTTAGATCTACCATGATAAATAAGTATGTTTACTACTTAAGTCATTTCGGATATTACAAGATGTGATTTCATTAAGATGTGCGAAAGAATCGTTTGTCATGATATTACATCTACTCTATTTCTGCTTGATCAAAATATTCTTTATAAGTGGCCTGCACTGTGCTTTAAAATGTACTGAAATATGGTTGACAATTGTAGTAAGGAACATGCAAACAAACCAAATGTTTATTTTTGCAATCATCCTGTACAGACTCTTAAGTTATGGTACTGACCTTGAACTATGATCTTGACTTTCAACTGAGCTACAGCGGCTGATGTCAGAAATATTTGTGTAAAATTCCATATTTTTGTTCAACGATTCACTTAAAAAAGATGTGGACAAATAAAATGTTAACAGGATGGACAGGACGACGCAAATAACAGCTATAAGCGGTAATGTAAAATTGGGCTATAAATTGCAATGTTTGTTGCCATAGATAATAAACATTTAACCTATCTACACTTACCAGTAACGTTGCTGTCCTCGGTGTTTGCTCTGTTCTTCTCGGTTTTGGTAGCAACATTGTCTCTATCAGCCCCTGTTGATTGTTTCCTGTGCCGTCGATATTTAGGATTATCTCGTCTGCCTGAATCGCTTTCATCCCTCTTTCTCTTTCTTGTTGAAATACCTGTATATGAAAGACCGACTTTACTCACTTGCTGCTTCAAATTCATATTATGTTATATTTATGTTATATTCATTCAGTAAAATATCTCAAACTTGTCATATGATTATATCTACTGAATTTCAAGCATAGTCAATCATAGAAGTTTGTATTTATTGGAGAGCTACTTACTTTCAGACGTGGTCTGTCCCGAGTGTCCAGGCGATACATCAGTGTTGTGAGAAAGGGTATTTAGATATCGGGGGATGTTGCCTGTTTCCGCTGTTGAAACATCGCTAAACTGTTGGGAATTAGATCCACCTGGGGAAGTCTTATCAACATGCACTCCTAAAAATTGAAAATAACGTTGAATGGGTATCATCATTTGTACTTTAAACTTCAATATTTCCATGCAAATCAAGATGCCTGTTTCGGGTACTTATCACAACTATAATGGCTATCAATATGCATTAAGTAAGTTTCTATACTTGGTAAACGGTACCTGTGTTGCATTGACTCCCTCATTTAATTTTGTTACAATACATTACAGCAAACTGTACAACGCCTGTATTGTAAGGGCAATCTTCAAAGATCAATCGCGGTTTCTTACATCAAATTCAACTCGCACGAGCAGCAATTACACGAGCGTGCATCGAGAATAAAATGTTTAAATACACCTCGTGAAATTGTATCTGAGTAATACAAAACCATTGTGTTAATGGATACGTTCCATTAAACATACAAAAAGTGCAATCAAATTATTTTTTCTTCTACTAAAAGAACAGGTGAATTGTAAGAATTCTTAGACGAGAAGGAATTGTGATTATATTTTGGTGAAAAATCAATCCCCCGGAAGGGAAATTGTTGCACAAAATGGATAATACATACATTTTTCGTCTTCCGCCTTTTATTCAAGTTTCTTGTCCACGTTATTTATTCCGCCACAAAACGAAAGGTAGTTAAAAGCACTAAACTAACGAACAAAATGACCCATTACCAATATAACTACACACAGCAGCTAAATAAAACCATCCTGTCGTTACCACTCACCCATATCGACTGTCCATACACTGTCCACTGACGGGGAGTCACTAGAGAAGGCCATTGGTGGACTCTTTTTAGACGTTCTACGTTTGTGTTTGACTTTCGACATTGTTCTTGGGTATGCATGAAAACTGTACAAATGCAACTGAAAAGAATATAACAAACCAAACTATATATATTTGTCAATTTGTAATTACGGATTAAATAATATTTGGGTCAGGTTTTTTTCTAATATGTTTTTTGTTATATTGTATTCACAATGCATCTGAGATATTATAATACTTTGTTGAACCAAATACAACAGATCATCTTACTGTAGGATAGAGTGAAATCTGCTCCATCTGGATAAATTAATGATTACCGGCCAATTAGAGAATGGTACACGTTACAAATTGTTCAACTAATCACTGAAAATTAAAAAGCCAATGGAATATTTCTATACGGATTAACACGGCATAAGTGTCAATTCCTTGCTTTTTTTTAGATAAGGAAATGAAAAAAAACCAAATAACAGATAATATGTTCAGTCAAGTTGCTTTTAAATGTAAACTGTTAAAACCATAATAAATGTATGCTGAACAATGTAAAAAACATACCGGATAGTTCAGATGATGGTGTCAACAATTCTCACGTCCATCCGTCATCGAATGGACGAATTCTCGTTTACATGTTTGTTGCGGGGTTTTAGCACGTAGATTTGTTCCTCGAGGTCTGCCTTGTTCCACCCAGCAAATAGCCAATGTCTCCGTTAACTGTATCTATGTTTCCCTCTTTGACAAGCTATTGTTTGCTGTAAATACTTCAAAACAATTTGATGTAACTATGTTTTCACTGCCAGTTTCATATAAATAGCACTCCAAACCCAGAAAAAACTGATATCTTGATGATGGTAGACAAGTATTGTCAGATGGGTCGAATTTGGAATCTCTGAGCGATGTTCCTGTTTGGAATACAAAATACTAAGTAAATAAAGAGATGTTGATATTTCAATGGGACGATGATCATACAGATTAAACTGCAATAAATCAGGATCGTCAATCATATTTGAGTATATACATACATTATATATATGTCTCAAAAGTAATAACGAAAGTATGATCCAATATGGGCACTGGATTCGAACGAACAAATGTAAACAGACATATGGGCAAAGTAGTAATAACGACATTGCAACAAAAAGAAATTTGTCAAATTTTCAGGCCAATCCGACCCTTTTTCATGGCAGAAACATGAACACTCATTATAACCTAGATAAACAATCATTATGAAACAATACTAGAGCAGTAAAACCAGGTATGCTGCTGTAATCGCATATCCCCTCGGTTAGCTTGTAACCGAAGGCTACTGTAGTACAAAATTATTCTTGATTACGTGCGGTCAAGTGAATCTAAGTAAAATAAGTAAAAATATATCATATATATACAGCATATATCTATGCAATCTGAATATCACAATAACATTACATATTAATCAGTAATTTACAGAATTTCCTACATCAATACACAAACCTTGCTTCGGCTAATCATCCGGGTACAATGTGCCTTATAAATAGAACAACCCTATAAATAATACGTTTGTGCCTATAACTAGCTCTGAAAATTTCCATTGTGATAGTTTCTGACCTATTCAGTTTAAAGGCACACTACGAACACACACATACACACACATATACGAAAAGCCTCACATGAATACAATAGTTTCTGCATATTAGTGGAAAATAATATCAACATACACAGACAATTTTATTAACTGTCTCTATTTGTAGGTAGGTCGCGTAGTTATGCATTGCTTGTAACAATTTTAAAGCGTATTTTAAAAGCATAATATCTTGTTTGGAATTTAATTTCGTTTATTTCATTGTTTAAAAAAAAAAAACGAAATAGAATCCCAACAAAATTTTAAACGCATGAAATACAATGTATAAACTAAATGAAAATGTTAAATAAACAATTTATTTTATTTCAAATCCATGGTATATTTACATTTAGACACAATTCAATTGTTTTCATTAACTTTAGTCCTTGCGGCCCATCAGTACATAAATATGTTAATACATTACATAATAAACGATGGCACAACAAACAGTGCAAAGTGGAGAGTGTAGTACATACATGTATATGTAATTAGATTCTCAACTTATTTGCTTCCAAAATATATTTACACAGTTCCTTGGTGTTGTTAACACACAATAATTGTATAACTTTAAACATTCATGTTTTCCCAGTAATACTTCTTTATACATTGACTTGTTAACTTTTGATAAGTATTACATATTAGAACAAAATGGTATTCATATTCAACCTCATTGACCGAATTACGCAAGGTACAATATCTCTGCGAACGAACAAAATTTCGATATCTGTCTGCCTTAATTGCTAGGGTATGCGCAGATGCAGACGTAATTTTGTTTGATTAATTTTTAATTATTTGGGTATACATTTTATATATAAGTAATACTGTATAAAGTGGTTGTCTACCATATACTTATATAAGAACTCTTAGATGAAGCTTCTAACAGACCTCTTAAATCTTGTAGTCCCTGGTCAAAATATCTTTGACGAATAAAAGGTCAAATTAATTTAACATTTAGGCACGGACTTAGATAATCCAATTCCGTGATTTAGGTCATGATTAACGGTGTAATTATCGTTACAGGCACAGAGGTAAACTGTCAAAACAACAGCGTGTCAATCAAGCGTTGTATTTGTACCACAGTTATTGTTACACGGGTACATGTACATGTGAATCTACAAAGTATACATTATGTGTATATCGCTCTTTGTATATAAGCTATAAAGCGTGACAGATTTGACCTATACCCTGTACCTGCAATGTGTCGTCAACTACGTATATAATGACAAGGTACATGTAAGTCTATGGGAGTCTACAAAGTATACATAATGTGTATATCGGTCTTTGTATATAAGCTAAAGAGCGTAACAAATTTGACCGATACCCGGGAGTGGGTAAATCTCGACCGATTTTACCTGTACTATATTTACCTGCACTGTGTCGTCACGCCTGTCAATTTACACTTTTTACTTCCCAGAAAAAATACAGGGTTTTCAAATATTGATTCCACGAAATATAATCCCAACGAATTTGTCCCCATACAAAGACAATGAAATTTAACCTCAACGAAAATATATGCTTTTACAGTATTTAGTTACACGGATTCTTGGTCATTTGTAGCATGAAAATGTTGATGTAATGATTGTAAATAACATTTCGGCAATAATATTAAATCTAAACAGAGGCTATCTAAACAATTTAATCAAACTGTTACCGAGAATGAAATGTTTATCCACAGTTCATAGTTTGTGTTATCTGTAGATAATACTTTAATACCTGTCACATGCTCATCCGTCGCTGATTTTATTTATGTTGTGTAATTTCCAGAAGGTTTAAGTTGAATACAACGGAATTGTGAAGAACACAATCATATATTCAATAGAAAACATTGTCTTAATCCCTTCGGTCTTTTCCTGTAGTTTGTAATTTGGAATTATTTTAAGAATGAGTGAATGCATTCACCACTGATTACTGCTATACATTTTGGTAATTGATAGAGTCAGTAAGTTTTGTCTTTCAAAGTTATTTAACGGTTTGAACATTTGATGTCACTTATTAAAAGATGTTTGCACGTTATTCTCCAAACTTCAGAGCGCTGTTAACATAATGATACTTGAGATATATCAAGGAAACACATGCATGACCATAGTTGTTTTTTAATTCGGAATACACAGGATCAGCATATACAATATATAATATTCAGTATTGAAAAGACCATAAGCTTGCGATATGTTTCTGTTTTCTTTCTTTGTGTCTTTTTAATGACAGCATGATTTAAATAAAAGTCTAATATATCCTTCTTAATGTTAAAATCCGTATTGATGTCAATATGACTTATCTCTTCTCACAAAACAATTCCAATTATAAGGGTAGAAATTAAGAGAAATGGTATATATTTAAATATCATTTGTTTGTGGACGTCACTTTCATAAAGCATAAACAAAAGAGAGTGATACCATAGCTGGTGGGCTGACCATTTTGTGTATCCCGAGTATAACTGGTTCCTTTCTCACGTTTTAAACATATAATTGTATAATGAAGACAAGAAGGGTAGAATATCTTGGACAATTGACACAAACATACCCCCTCCCCCACCCCCACCCCCTTTCTTTAACAACACTAGTCGGCACAGCCAATATGTACGCAATATTTTGACTGTTCGAATCAATGTAAAATGTGCAACCAGATTTTTTTTGTGTTCAATACATTATGGTTAAGTGAACATTTTGCAAATTATTGTTATGAATGCTCAGACATGTTTGGAGCTACAGATAAGCCACGTGTATTTTTATCTGTACTTGCCTTCAGACTTTCAACCCTTCATAAGGAGGTCTTACAGCGACGATTATATGTTCATAACACGAACAATTTAAAGTACCAGTAGTTTTATGCAGGTTACAGAAGGAATTATAAGTGACATTTTTGATATGGAAGAATGGTAAAAACATGTATACACTCTGCTATCACAGTTAGGAGTGGCGTATGTTTCTGATATTTCTGTTAAGGAATGACGTCTCATGTCTCAAATATGTAGATTTCTCATACATTCTATGGTCTGTTTCAAACTCTAAGGAATGATAATGATAATTGAAACAGAGAATTAATTTACATGAACTGATGAGAATGCAGAAGATCTGTATTTATATTTTTAGGCCTGTATATTATAAAACTTTATATCTAAGTCAAATGAAATACATTTCAAACAGCTGTTGGCAACAAATATCTGTTGGTGTCCACACTTGCCATAACACAGAAAGGAAATGTGCAAAGAAGTGAGAGTTCAGAGATGTTACATTATTCATAACAATTCCTTATGTGCACCCGCTGCAGATACACTATTTAGCGCAGAAATGAATAAAATTTCACAGCAGTAAGTTCCTATAGGGGCAAGCACCTGACCAGATATTAAATTCGATACATTATGTTTCAGTATGTTCTACTAACATTTCATTCAGTCATTTTGAAGATTTACCTTTCCGTGCTTCAATTATTGTCTTTGTTGAAAATGTCATACAAGCTATATTTTGATTTATTTCAATATTCACGATAACAGCCAACCACTGTCGTGATATTACTGTAAATTGGCACTGTCCAATATTACAGTCCTGCATTTCAATATTTGACTATCATCGAAAACCTTTGGACAGCTACAGGTATCACACTGGATGCTACTGTTCATAATTTAGAAGTCCATACAAAAGATCAGCGATATTCCCTTATCTTGTTATCTTGTACAAGAGCAATTTCACCAAAGCATATACTGATGCATTGGCTTCATCAAATACCTCGACAAAAGACCAAAGACAAAGTGGATCTAAGCGCATGATGGTGCTAACTTATTGCCCAAACAACAATTGGCAATTAAAAACAAGATGAAAAAGACAACGCCCCTTATAAAGTCTTTATGTCCTTAAGATTATCAGGTCAGAATTATCTACAAAAGAACTGAATTGTGATGTTTGTGACTTAATGTCGTTTAATTGTGATGGTTGTGACTTAATGTTGTTTAATTGTGATGGTTGTGACTTAATGTTGTTTCAATGTGATGGTTGTGACAGAATGTTGTTTCATTGTGTTTGTTTTGGCTTAATGTTGTTTAGTTGAGATGGTTGTGACTTAATGTTGTTTAGTTGAGATGGTTGTGACTTAATGTTGTTTCATTGTGATGGTTGTGACAGAATGTTGTTTTATTGTGATGGTTGTGACTTAATGTTGTTTAGTTGAGATGGTAGTGACTTAATGTTGTTTAGTTGAGATGGTTGTGACTCAATGTTGTTTAGTTGTGATGGTTGTGACTTAATGTTGTTTCATTGTGATGGTTGTGAC